CCTCCTCCTCCTCCTCCTCCTCCATCATCTTTCTATTATTCTTACTCTACTCCTTCTTTTACTCTTCCTATACCCCCTTCCCCTAAACATCTCTTATCTTCTCCTCTCTTTTTCTCTTATTTAATAATAATTATATTGTTCAAAAAGGAATACCAACATCCGCTAACACTTGGAATTATTCTGATCAAGAGCATAAGGAATAAAGTGCACGGATATATGCACTTTTTCGTTTTGTTTCTGCGTTTGTTTGTTCGATTAGCTTTAAATGGTCTACACTCTACTGTTTTAATAAAAAAAAAAAAAAAAAAAAGCTTTCGCATGTAAATTACTCTTACAATTTTTTTTTGCATTTTTTCTTTTTTTAAAGTTTTATTATTTATTCCTTACTTCTGGGAGATCCGTATAAACGTAGAAATATTGTATGAAAAACTTGAAAAAGGTAAACGTTCCTTCTTTTATTATTTTCTTTTCTTTTCTTTACTTCTTTTTTTTTGTCCTTTTTTTGCAATTTTTTTTCTTCTTTTTTATCCTTTTCCTATTGTTATATTTTCGGGGGCGGTAAAATTGTGCACACAACACGTTGTCTTTTTTTCGTTTATTATTAATATTATTATTATTATTATTATTAATTATTATTATTATTATTATTATTGTAAGTATTAGGCGATTGACGATACTTTTTTTTTGTTTAAAATGATTATCCTAAAAATTACGAGAGATAGTAGGCTTCCTGTCGTAAATTTATTTTCTCATTTTTTGTTCTTTTTTTTTTAGTTAAAAAAGAGAAATATCATTTATCGAACGAACACCGAATTTATTTATTTATTTTTTTTTACCTTTCTTTCATTTTCTTTATTTTTTTGGGTTGTTTTGTGTATTTATACACGAACGTATTTTTTGTGTCCTATACGTCTAGATTAAATATCACTTACACTGTGTTTCGATTTTATTGTATTTTTTTTTGTTGCTTAAAAGTTTGTGTATTCGTATGGTGTTCGTAGTGGTAGTGGGTGGTAGCGGTGATGGTGAATGGTTATGGGGTGATAGTAAATTTACGAAGTATCGTATTATGTGCGTGTAAAAATGTTCTTTTGGTAAATGTGTGTTTTGTATATTTTCTTTTGTTTGTTCCTTTCTTTGAATTATATATATATATATATATATGTTTGTGAGTGTGTGTAAAATACGAGAGTAGTCATATGAGTTATTCATTTCATTTTTTTTTAATCACCTGCGCTTATCCAAATATCATAAAAATGCGTATATAATAGAAGTGTTATAATAGTTCTTCGTTATATAATATAAAAAAGAAGAAAAAAATAATAATTAACATTATAATCAATTGTCGAACGTACAAATACTTTTTAAAGGAAAGAACGAAGATTGAAATTTACATATATATCTATCAAAAAAAAAAAAATAAAATAAAATGATTAAGATAAGAAAAGAGAGAAAAAAAAGAAAAGATAAGAAAAACCAAAGAGGATCGCAAGAAAGGAGAAAGTACGAACAAAAAAAAAATAAAATAAGATAATAATAAAATAATTAAAAAGAAAAGATCGTGATATATATATATTTGAATATGTATATCATGTAAGAATATGTCCTTTTTTCCTCTACGAACAAGAGAAAATGTTTCTCTCGCTTTGCGAGCATTTTTTTTCCTTTTTTTCTCTCTTTATTTCGTTCTTAAACATATTTTTATTTTCGTCTTAAATCACTCATGCGGTTTTTGTTGTTGCTGTTGTTGTTAATGTATTAGCATTTTGACAACTTTTGGATTATCTAAAAACCATTTCTTCGTTTTTCTTTTTTCCTTCTCTCTCTTTCTCTCTCATTGTTATTATCTTTTCTCATCTTAGTTGTTATATTAATATTAATATTATTATAATTATTATTATTATTATTATTATTATTATTATTATTATTAATATTAATATTATTATAGTTAATTTTTTTTACCAAATGCTTTATTAGAGCCAGTAGCGGCCACTTTGTTTTCTTTTATCGTCATACAAATCACAATTAAAGTTAAAGTAAAATCGTACACCATTATTATTACTATATCATTATTATTAATATATCATTATTATTTATTATTATTTTAATACGTTCTTTCCTTTCATTTCTCAACGTTTTCAAATCAATCTCCTTACTTACCATTTGCGATATTTCATACTCGTTTTCTCTCATATAAATCTAATAATGTTATATGTTAATGTTTATTACACGGGAGGGCACCAGCCATTTCGTCTTTTTTTAAATATTTTTTTTTTAGTTTCGAGTATTTCCATTAAACCGAAATAGTATACGTTAAAGAATAAGATATTATTTGTTCATTGATGACGACAACAATGTTAAATGTAAATGTAAATGTTCATGATAATGATAATGATAATAATGATATTGACGGCGACAAAGACGACGACTATGATTATGAAAAAGATGATGATGATTATGATAATTAAGATGATAAAGATGATGATGATGATGATGATGATGATGATGATGATGAAGACAATGAAGATGACGATAATCTTTGAAAGATTTATTTTTCTTTCTCTCACATGCGCGGCGCGCGCGCATTGTTATTTTAATTTATTTTTTATTTATTTATCGGTAACCCTTTCTGTACTTGTTGCTATTTTTGTTTAAATTCCTACACAGGAAGGCCAATTATAACTAACCCCACCTGTGGCTGGGCTCAGCCCGTGGTAAAAATGAATTCAATGGATCCTTCGGTTACGAGCGACCATAAACGCTAAACGAGATAGATGCAATTTGATAATTTTAATCGTATTATTTTTCTTATTGTATCTTCTTCTTCTTATTATGAATCGTTTATTTTAGAAAAAGAGTCTCATAATCTGCGCACAAGCGAGTATAAATGGGTTTTAGGGGTAGTGATATTATTGGTAGTGGTGTTGGTGGTGGTAGTGGATGTTGTTGTTCTTGTGTATTATTTATTTTGTTTGGTTTAATTTGCATAAAATCATCCTGTTTCATTCACTTATTATTCTTTCCTTTTATTATATACCCTTTTTAACGACCCTCGCTTTCTTCCTTTAAATAATGCAATCGTTTAGTTCTTGTTATTTTTCTTTTTTTTTTTTCGTCACCCTGCCGGCTTTTGTTTTCATCATAATAATTAATAGGCCTACTATTTAAAGTCTATAATGTTCATCTTCTTCTTCTTCTTCTTCTTCTTCGTATTATTATTATTATTTTTCTTCTTATCGTGATGCTCAGGTAACATCGTTATTCTCTTTCTACCTGTCTTTCCTTCCTTCCTTCCTTTTTTATTATTTTTTTTATCTTGTTTATTTGTTTGTTTGTTTACTTATTTATTTATTTCTTGCTTGCTTTGTTTTGTTGTTGTTGCTCGTAACGAAAGAACGTTATTTTCTGGTTTAATTAGTAAGGAATGGTCCAAATATACATATCTATATAATATACTTTTTTGGTTTTAACGAGAGAAAAAAATTTTCTTCATCCCAAGATACAATTCGGTTAAATGGCGTTTATTCATTCATGTTGTTTTGGTGATGTGCATCGGCGATTATTTCCTGAAATTCAAAAGAAAAATAAAAATAAAAAAGAAAAGAAAAAAAAGAAACAGAAAATTCAATTAAAATTCATTTTTTCGTTGATGATCATTGTTACATATTCATGTTGATGACGCTTACATTCGTGTTACATTCAATGGCCTCGTTAACCGCCGCTGCAACAGCTTTGTCGCTAATTTCAATTTCCTCGATGGCCTGTAACGTGAAACAAAAACAATCCCAAAATTATATTAATATTAGCACTAATAAATAAATACATACGATAAATATAACAATATCAACAATATATTTTTATATTATAAAAAAATAATCAGATGGCCCCAATAATCGTCATTAAATTTCGAAAACAAAAATTCGGGATCATTAGGAAATCATCATATTTTAAAAATTATAATTAAGATAAATGGATAAAGTCAAATATTATGTTTGTTTAACAGGATAAGGTAACAAATAAAATTTTAAAGAGATGTTCCTGTTTAGAGTCAATAAGTAGAGTCATTTACAACCAACTAAGCTATGAGTCATAGCTTTTCCATTCACATATATGCTTTCAGTCATTATCATTGATGTAGACAGCAAGCAGACTTTTTTTCTATATGTTGAAATAAGACAGCATAACAGAAGGTATGTTTTCCTCCTAAATCATTGTTACCTTAGTGACGGAAGCAACATCCTCAGTAATGGCCGGTGCAGATGGCGGCGAAGCAGGAACTTCGATCGGAATTGCTGGTGGTGCCACCTTAGGAGCTTCTTCAATATTATTTTCTGTCGTACCAACTTCATGAGTCACAGCTTTTTCCACGACTGGTATCTCGACTTTCGGAGTACTCTGTAAAAGATCACGTTAGACAGACATATTTTAACGAATTCTTATTTCCAAATTTGAAAGCGTTTCCTGCCAATGACCCCAAAAAACCAAACATGCTTCTTTTTTTTTTATTATTATCATAAGATCAACTTAAGAACGTGAATCGATTCTGTCGTGAATCCCCATTACAAAATTAAAAGGAAAAAGTAAATAAAAAATAAAATAAAATAAATACATAATTAGCAATAATTCTATATCCCTATATAATAATTTAGACTAGATATTTATTTATAATCGAATGCTTGGACTAGAAGAGAGACTGGACAAAACAGACACAAATATAACAAACAAGACAGAATCGTTCACCATGCTTCGAGCAGTTTCAAAGGACATGTGTGAACATCCCGTTTGAAAAATTTCGAGTAGTGAATAATAATAATAATAATAATAATAATAATAATAATAATAATAATAATAATAATAATAACAACAATAACAATAATAATGATAATAGTAATAATAATACAACAACAATAAAGTTAATACG